ATAAATCTTGTTCTTCCAATGACTAAACAGAAATAAGAAAAAAAAAAACAAAAAAATTACTATGAAACGTATTCTTGATTAAAAAACAGATCTTACTTTCACTTGAAATTTGGTTGGAACTTCTTCTTGAGTTTCGTTGGCCAATAACTTGTCAACTTCTGTTATAGAATCACTCTCCAAGGAAATATTCATAGTCCTTCCATTATTCTTTTTTTGTCCAGTTAACACTTGAGTTTGAAACAGGTGTTGATTCCGACGCCCTGGTTTCTCCATTTGTAACGGTATAGTATTTGTTTGAAATTGACAATGATTGCAGTAAATAATATCTGAAAGAAAAGACTATGTACACATATGTATATATATATATATAAGTCTAAAGTTTGTAGCCTAACACAAAAGTTGCATGAAAAATCGAACAATTTGTTTAAGTACAAACATATGAGATAGTTTTGATGCAAAAGAACTACATAGGAATAGAAACAATTATATACAATTAGAAGAAAATATTGTCATCGATAGTCTGAACAAATCCTAATAATTGTTTAGTACGTTTTTTCATATTTTTCAAACGATCTTGAATAATTTGATACATTGATGCGCTGAATAAACCGTTTAAAAGTAATGGATCTTGTTCAACAGCAGCACCATTCTTCCATGCAATTTGTTGATATATCGAGCTTGAACTATTCTTCTTTTTTTGACGAATTACTTTTTTGCAAACGTTGAGTTGATCTCGCCAAGTTTTTCGAACGATAACAATCTAGAATCGAAGTAAACAAAAAAAAAAAAAATAATTAGAAAACAAAAACAAACCTGCTCCTCTGTTGGATTTAAATCATAGAATGATTTGACAAGATTTGCATTAGTAATATCAAAGTTTAATAAAATTTTCTTCTGTTCGAAGTTGGTACGAAGATAATTTAAATTATTTTCGGCAAGAGTAATAAGACCATTAGCGATAACATTCATAAAACTAAATAAAGCAGTTTTATTCGTCAGTTCACATTCAAAAGGATATGGTTGTTGTAGATGAAAATTTAAATCACGTTCAGCTTTTTGTAATTGTTTTTGAATTTTTTTTTGTTGTTTTTGGACAATTGCTTTTCTTTTCGTATGATCCCAATTAATAGAATTTTTTTTCGTTCCATCTTTACCAATTTCTAATAACCAAATAACTACAGGATGAATTGTTAAATCGGCTATATAATTCCAATAATCTAATTCAATTCTTAATTGAAAAACAGTAGCAATTAATTCAGCACGGTGTTTTAAGAAATCTAACATTGTAATATTTGTTAACCAATTTTTAATATGATGATGTGAATGAACAGGAATCGTTTTGATTAACACATCTTTGAACTCATAATAGGTTAATTTTTTATAATTTGGTTTGATTTTAAGCAACTGTTTCCAATGATCAGTACATAAATTGTAACATTTCGCCTTTTTTGGATAGATTATAGATATTACTGAATGGCATTCGGATTCCATTTCTGATTCTGATAAATAAGATGGTTCAAATCTTAAATCAAATTCTAAGTTTTCTTCACTGTTTTCATACGCGCATATGTGATCCTATCAAAATAAGAAAAAAAAAATTCTATATTATCAACAGGTAATTTATGACTTGCATTGCATTCGGATGACATTGACGAATTCAAGATATTCTTCACCGCGTTTATTAATGGAAACTCATCCATTTGTTCAATATTTTTATAAATTGAATTATTTGCTTCTTTAATGAGATTTAACATTTCATTTGCTTGATTTGACATTGCTTTTCTTCGAGTTGATCGCCGAAAACGTTGTAATTTTCTGTTGCCACGACATTTTTTTTTCTTTTTTTGTACTAAGCCATTTTGGAAAACACGATGTTCAGATAATTTTAATATATCTTTCCACAAATCCATAGTGGAGTGTAATTTAAAATCAAACTAAAATACCTGAAATAATACCGATTAGTTAAACCTGGTCCTGGAAACCGAAAACCTACTAGTACTGCAATATTTTTTTTTTGATTTTATTTTTTATTTTTTTAAACTTAACAGAGCTCGATTATCAGGAATAGTCAAACGGGGTCATTCTCTTTCTGATGAAATGAAAAATATCCTCTGGATTTCTGTTTTAAGAGAATGTGTGAAAGATGGTTTTGATAATCCGGTAAACAAAAGTGTGAATAACATAACTAATATAATAACATACTTGGTTAAAATGTTTTCAGAGTGATTGCAGTTGCCTTTGTCAGAAGTAATTGAAGTAGAAGTATCGACGTTGTAGCTATTAAATTGATCGGTAGTATGAAGGGACTGTAGAAAAATCGGGCCTATTTATACTCTCGGAATAAGGCATAGGACAACAAATTACGACAACAAATTGTGACATTAAACTAAGACAAAGGAGAACAAAATATAAGAGACAACAACTAAGTTTCACAAATAACAACTGTCTACGACACCAAACTAACCGTAAAGAGAAGAAACTTTTTCAAACAACAATATACACTGATATATGACAACTAGTGATACTGTACGACAACATCGTATCATTACCAACCACAAACACTTGCACATATCAAAAAATCTTAACATTGAACAACAACATATGACATATGACACGAAACAGTAGTTACCGACACCTATCATCGCAGACAACTATAAGTTAAAGAAACGACACCAAATAGACGTAAACGAAAACAAAGCATTATCAAAGGCAACAAGCTATCAGAAACAACAATCAATTATCATAAACATTAATAAACTATTATGAACGTAAAAAGTTTGTAATTAAGAACCTCAAATCAATACATTACAGAATAATAAATCATAAACCGCAATAGTGTGATTTTTTTCTGTTTTTTTTCGAAAAGACATTCGTGAACTTCTTTTTTATGTATGTATAATGAGGGCACATGCCAGTGTAAAATAATATTCGTTTCGAACATTAACTTTTTCTCTTCAAAGTAATTAGAAAAAAAAAACACAAAAATCTTCCTTTAAATCCATTGTTTAAGAAATAAAAAAAAAATGTCTGCTTTTTTAGTACACTGTCATTTCGAATCGTTTATGGCTAAATTCTAATATTGATTTGTTTCTTCAATTAATTATCAGAACCCAATAGATATGCTCATCAGGCAGCTTTTTTTCACTTTACCTCAGTATATGTATTATAATTATATTAATGCAATTTTTTTTACTCAAAACCACATTCTAGAATTTTGTTTTCGTCTGCATAAAAGTAGGGCACAGGCAAGTGTAAACTAATATTCTTTTCGAACATTAGCTTCTCTTCATCCAAGCAATAAAAAAAAAAAAAAACTAGCAATAAATTTTCCTTACAGTCTATTCTATATAAAATGCAAAAATGTCTTCTCTTTTATTATACTGTCATTTTGTATCGATCATAGCTAAACTGTAATATTGATTTATTTCTTTAATTATTTATTAAAAACCATAGATCTGCTCATCAGGCAACTATTTTGACTTGTCCTTGGTATGCGTTCTGTGAAACTGCTCAGTAGAATATTGAGCGTATTGAATTTCTTCTAATATTTGGGTGTGGGAGAATATTTAGACAGAATCCTTTTTGTTAAAAATTCCAGAAGACCTCCAATTCGAGTACCAAAACTTTGAATAGAAGATAGTCATAGTTGCAAAAAAAAATGTTTTTGTTACTATAAAAAATTTGCTTTGCATCAATGTAATTCATTGTGAATGTGTCAAGTCCTTTGATTTGTAATATTGGTTTTTTTCGAACGTTTTATCATTGCCTTCCCAAAACAAAAGTCTCTAAGAATTTGTTCGACTGTATCATTGTACAATTTTTTTATTTGTATTAATTGAATAATTATGTGGCAACTTTTTTTTTTTTTATTTGATTATTTCACGTCTTTCATGAAGTATGATTAGTTATACCAAAAAGAAAAAAACAAAATATTAATCTTTGCTGCTTATGTTTCTATTTCTTGCTTCGAACTAAATTGAAGATTAGTGTTAAGAACACACCCTTGTATATTTATTCAAATAGAAAAACTGTAACAACACAAAGTACTAAACAATACAACAGTTTCAATATCATATAAAGTGGAAAAAACAAATTCAATAAATTTTCTATAGTTTTATTTCTAAATTAAATCATAATTATATATAAACCTAAAATTTCATCGTGTCTAAATCTGAATCGGTCTGTTGGTCATTAAATCTTAAATATTGTAATGATTCGGCAAGACTATGTTGTGCGTGGAATTCACGTTGTTGAGATTGTTCGAATGTTTGTAAGTGTTCAGTTGAGAAATCTTGTGAATTATATTCTTTACGATCGATTGGTTGTGGAGAAGTAAGTGTGGCCAAATATTGAAAGTAATTTTGATCATATTGATCAGCAGCTAGAAAAAATTCTAAGCTTTCTTGCTCATATTCTTCTTTGATTTGTTTGTTTTCTTCTGATTGTTGTTCCAACTGTTCGGGTTCTTCGAATAATTCATCTTCTATTATAGTATAAAGTTCTTTTTCTTCTCGTTGTAACTATTGATATTTTTGGGATGCTGCATGTTGAATGTTGGAACAATCTATTAGATCATTTTCGTGTGATATCTTTGGTGCTGGTTGTGATTGTGTTAATGACCTGTCGTGCGGTTTTTTTTTTCTTATTTCACTATTTTGTACAGTATGAGCATGAAATAAGGCACCGTCATTTTGTTGTTTCATCTATTGAGAACAAAAACTTTTTGGTATCATATTAAAGAATACTTCTGATTTTTTACATGTGCTTGCTCTGCTAACTTCGAATTCGTTGTTTCAATATCTTTGCGATCAACTTCCATTATTCTTTTAATATTTAGAAGAAAAAAAAAAGCAAGTGGTTATGTATGATTTCGTAACAACTTAATATACAATAGAAGTTTATTAACAATGAAAAAAAAAAGGAAAAAAAAAACAAAGTGAAACACTATTTTGTAATTTTTCTTTTCTTGTAATTGACATGTATACAGAAACATAATACCTAGATAAGTACTACTTGAAAAACAAAACAATTCAATGTAGCAAACAAAAAACTAAGGTCTGATCTATAGTGAGATTGGATATATTTGTTCGGTGTTTGGCAAAGTCAACATACATAGAAGTGGTCGTTTCTCTACTAAATAATCATTGATAGTTAATGGCGTTTGTGAACATGGCACGAATTCAATTTCAATAGCATTGAATAGGTCGTTGTTAGCCGACGGATCTTTAAAATAATTTAAAAATTGATTTTTCATCAAATTTATCATTTTACCGTTGAAGTTCTCTGGATATGGAACACGTAGAATATTTTTGCTGCTTATTTCTTGTTGTTTTTTTAATGCAATTTCATTTTCATACATTTTAATAACACGTTGTCGAAGTGTATCATATGGAATAGTAATGAATAAATGATCATTATCGAGGTTAACATCAAATTCTTTGTAAAATTCTTCAACACATTGAGCAATAAAATCCAATGAAAAACCTCGAATTAAATAACAAAGTTCAATATGTTGTCGTTCCTTTTGAAAATCCACTTCTTTCGAACAGCATCGTATAGCATGTTTAAGAGCAGCTTTCAATAAACTTGACGGTCGATTGGTATAATAATCGTATTTGTTGGGTAGTTCATATTCATCTTTATCTGGATCATGATAGATTTTTGTAATAAGATGGCCATTCTCATTTGTTAATTGTAGATCAAGTCGATTTATTGTAGTTCCAATCATTATTTTGAGTGGAAGAATAGTTGGAGATTGTTCCTGTTTCACCATAACTTCATTCATCAATATTTCCAATTGATCTTTCGAATCACTCCATGTAAGAAAAAAATCATCACGAAATCTAAAATACATGTTGAAAGTTGTTTTGTTTCTTCAGAAAAAAAAACTGACACATACCTGCCAAAAAGTTCGTTTCGATTTTTTACAAGAGTATATATGAAACAAGAGCATTGCCCGTAGAATAGATAAATACAAGCCAAAGGAATTGTCAACAGTGAACCAGAAGCACCACCATGTACTTGTTGGTAGAGTTTATTGTCATAAACAAAATATTGATTTTTTAAAACAAGCCAGACAAGTTCAACAATAGTCTCTGCTCGTAAACCTTCAACGTTTTTTTCTATATCTGACCAATATATATGAAGAAACTTTGTTAAAGTTTTAATAACATTTTCATGAGAAAATTGATTACAAATATCATTGATATTGAAGGCCACAAAAAGAGTAGTTTCATCAAGAAAATTATTGTTTGCATATTGTTCCAATGTATGAACAAGATTATCACTATTGTTAAATTTCTGACAACCTGTCACTTGATTAAATATTCTCCAAAGTATACGATTAAGATAAAGTGCTATGTTAAAGGTCGGTCCATTTTTACAGATGATAATAGGTTGAAGTGGGTCACCTTTCTGTATTCAACATGAAAAAAAAAATTCGTTTTTCAATAAATATAAAATATGGAAACAAGTTGTAAATTTTACCTCAGATGTATCCGGTACAAAATGTAAATAATTTAATTGTATATGAATTCGTTTTGGATCCATAAATACATATTGATAGTAATTAATTGATTTGGAATACAATAATTGATTTAATGTCGTTTCAACTTCTTGTATGATATTGTTTAAACAATTGTGACTAATCGTTGAATTTTTAATATCGATTTCATTAATAAATTGATAAATACCTGATTGCTGTATATAATTCGAAGCTTTTTCTTGAAATTCTTTCGCTAAATATGTATGAAACGAGTAACCTTCGTACGATGCACGCATTATAAGTTTTTCTTTTTTTAAGTAACGTCGCATTGATAGAATGTTTTCTTTCTGTACTTGAGCTATTTCACGAGCAACAAATGTCATATTAGCTTTTGAATTCATATGATCAATAATTTTTATTATTTCATCCCAATCGTAATATTCGAATATACTGTGTACTTTATGGTGATAAGATAATTCATTACCATCTGATAAATCATTATCGATGTTTTGTATTTGAAAGTCATTATTATATTCCAGGATATGTTCGACCATGGGAAACGTATCGACTGAGCTAATTGATATATATATACACTATAATACTAAAAAATAAAATAAAAAATTTTACTTTCAACATTCTAGAGTACCCTATGTGCATATAATTGATATGTGCAAGAACAAAATGAAAACAACATAGGTACTATTCAGAAGTATAGTTAATTAGAATTGTACACGAATCAGTAATACATATCTTCTTTTTTTTTTTTTTTTTTTTTTTTTTTTACAATCGCTCTTATAACACATAAGTGTGTACTAAAAACGTACCTAGTAAAAGATATTTGAACACGATTGCAATGAAGCTTGTTAGTAAAGATTCCAGTAAACAAATAGTAGTAATCACTGTTGGATGAAATGACAAAATGATATCTTCGCTTGCGGAGCATTCCTATTTATAGTTCTCAGTTCGCCACAGACGACAACAAACGTACAACATCAATATCTGAATGATAACACCAAACTCAAATAAACGACACGAAACTACCGTGAAAAAAATATCCTTGTATGAGAGAAGACGTATAACAAACACAATAATGTTTCATGGACGACAACAAACTCTTTGGGAAAACACTATTTTATAAAAGATGGCAATTAAGTATGACCATAATATATAGGTTGCGACAATAAAGTAGAATAAAGGACATCAAAGTATTGCATACAACACTTTTTACAATAGACACAAACTAACCACGACAACAAGGTGAAACTCTAGCTATTGACCACTTATCATGTGCGTCAACAACAACAAACCATTACACGTGACAATCGACTGTAAATAACGACAACAATCTAAGATCAAGGGCAACAATGGAACGGAAACCACAACTAAGTATGATCAAAGTGACATGTATCATATAGTGTACAATTACAGTAGTCCAATATGTAAAAACGTGAGACTGTTAAACTCTTCCTCACATAATCATACCGAACGTTATGAAGAGACGATTTGTATTTCAAAACTGCATAAAGTTTATTGGAGCCATCGCAACTTCCTCAGAACACTTTTTTTTTCTTTTTTTTTTTTTTTTAAAGACAAAAATTGAAATTATATTGATTATATAGAGAGAATATTGTGAGAAGAAAAATAATCTTAATTTCTAGTGAAAATTTAAGAAAATTTCATGAATTTTTTGTTTTTGAAAATGATTCAACATTTTTTTCGATACATAAAGTTTTTTCTTTCCAGTGAATTGTATGTTGTATTGTACGACGGTTCTAGAATTTTTTCAATAATACATTGTCAATGTTCTATGGTAGATTTCTAAGTCCTTTTTTTTCTTTTTTTTTTGTTTTGGAATGATATTGTACAAGATGATACGAACAATAAACATCGTTTGGCTCGATATGTGTAGTAATCCAATGTAACAAAATAAAAACACTTCATATAGATTTTTTTTTTCCAAGCATAATAGATGTATTGATTTAATCTGTGGTGGAAAAACCTTCAAATTTTTTCAAGTAAATTTTCTCAAGTTGTGTAGAAAAATTCAAATCTTTTTATTCTTTCAAATACATAAGCAAATCTTTTGTCTTTAATTTTGTGTACTGTGTTTCTACTGTTACAATTTGATGCCAGTTCGCCAAATTGCTTTTCTAATTTTTCAGACTCAACTTTTCAGAATTATTTTTTTTTTATTTCAATCTGTTACAGTCTTCAAAGAAAAAAAAAACATGTTAACCATCACGTTACAAAGAACAGCTAAATAGAATCATGTGTACTCTTGTATTGTTAACTGTTGTTTTTTTTTAATATCGTTCAATTTTTAAATGGCTATCAAATTTTTGCATACGATCACATCAATATAATAATCTGATTTCTCAAGTATTAACAAAGAGGTTTCCATCCTAATTCGAATGTTGACTTTCGACCGTTAAAAAGTCATTTTTCATATCTCGTAGTTTCTCGATTTACAGGGATTCATTTTATTGACATTGAACTATGACCTTGAAGTCATTTTTTATTGAAAAGTGCTGCATTCTCAGCACTACTACTTAGTTAAATTTTCACCTAAGACATTTCCAGGGTTGTTTTTCATCATTCCAAATTTCAACAAAAATCAATATTTTACTCATAGACATAGTATGACCTTTGATCTGGAAAATTAATTTACATTCAAAAAAGGAGCCAGTTATAACGATTTCCTTTTGAATACAATATCGTCTGTGACCCTGTGACCAAAACACATTTAAATTTGGATTTTTTTTTTGTTATTTAACGGTTATCATATATATTGAGCCGCGTGAAGAACATTTGACCGTTGAACTTTTAACCTACAGATGTCACTCGACAATTATATCTTCAAACTATGATATTCTCAGAACAATTAGAATCGAATTTTCTAACTTCCATTGTTTGTTCAGCTACAAATAAGTATCTGTGAAATTAGTCGAGATCTGGCAGATTTTGTACGCATCATTTATCGCTATAATTTTGTTCAGCATGAAAAAAAACATATGTATTTAGAAAAAAAAATGTAATAGTACAACAGCAAAAAATATGTATTAATGGACAAAGAGACGTTGATGATCCAAAAAAAAAATTATAATATCAGAAAAAAAAATGTATATATTAATACAAAAAAGAAGGAAAAAAAATAATGTTTTTTTAGCATTCCCAATCATATGAATCATATGGATCATAATCAAATGGTGAGGGTGCATACCATGTTGGATCTAATGATTCATCATAATCATCGTTATCATAATTATTCTCATCATCTTTTTGAAAACAATCTTCTGATAATGATGATGATAATGATGAGAATTCAAATTCTGCCTTATAATAATGAGCAGATGTTTCATCTTTTTTATTCTTTTTACTATGGATGAATAAGTAAATTTACAATATGAAATAATACAAAGCTATGTTAGACGATAAAAATGACTTACTTTTCATTTTCATTTTCAAATGGCCGATCAATAAGTATTAATCGACGAGAAAATGGCAAAATAAACTAAATTATATAACATTTTCTTATTGTAAGTATAGATACGAAATTTCTTATATTACTCTTCCATTTGGACTGACATCTAATAATTGAATTAAATGCCAATAAATCATATTATTATTATTATTATTATTATTATTATTATTCTAGAAGAAGTAAGAAAACAAACAACTACTTTAATCTATCAAATTTGTTTCCTGTTTACCAATTGTTGATTTGATTGTACAAATGCCATATTATTATGTTTTTTTTGATATATGTAAATAGTAATAAATTTATTGTATATATATATATCTAGAATAGAAAAGAAGAAACTTTTGGTTTAGCTACTCTAAAATGGGAATTCAATCATTATTTTGTATTTGTATAGCATGCGATATTTCACAACAAACCTTCTAGTAATAAATGAAAGACTCCTTATAAATTAGTAATCGTAAAGTTAGAGAAGAAATAATTACCTAGAGACATCTGTTTCGCAAGTTTTAAACCAAAAGTACTCGAATTGAAATTTATTCCTATTCAAATATGTTTTGCAAATAAAAAAAAAAAAAAAAAAGGAGCAAAAAAAAGTAATGATGTTGATGATTAAGTAGATAAAGTTATATCTTATGAGACGAAAAAGAAAAGCGAAGAAAAACTTCAGTTCCAATTTGAATTATTATTATTATTATTTTCATATTCATGTTGATTTATTCGTGCATTATCAGACATTATAATTAAAATAACGTCGATGTATATTTGTATGTATATTAACAGGTAAAAAACGTGAACTAAATATATAAATGTTAGTTATTAATTGACCACGAATATTTTCATCAAGATCTAAATCATTAATTTGATTAAATAGTATATCGAGTAATTTATTTTCAATAGTATCACCATAATTAAGAATAAACATTAAATGGTCATATGTTAAATCGTTATCAAAGAACAATTGATCTTGTAAATTTATAACCATATTATTTAATTTGATGGCAACATCTGAACTAATATTATGAAAATCAATACAGCTGGATGTATTTAATATATCAGAAAACGACTTGGTAATAGACATGATCAAAGACAATCGAATTATGTAAATGAAACACGTTAAATTAGAGATTATCCTGCTTATTTTCTTTTTTCTTTTGTTTTCTTTTTTTTTTTCGTTCTACCTAGAAACGTTCTCTGACCGGACAAATTTGAATCTGTCCAGGGTAATTTTTCTTTTCTTCGATTCTCTCGACAACCATAGTCCATGTGACTAACTATAAATATTAATTAAAGTTTAATTTTGTTTTTCTTCTCGTGATGTCGCTAATTATTTTGCGTGCAATATGTTTTGAATTCATGATTATTTCTTTTTTCTTATGTTTATTTTTTCTTCTTATTTTTTTGTTGAAAAATCTAGTATTATCTCATCTACTTTCTCATCGAATTCGACTAGCTGACTATTTTGACAAGGCTCAAACTTGGATGCATGCATGTGTAGCAGCTATATAAAAATTGAAACAACAAATTTCAATATTCTTTAAATTAGAATTTCCAAACGTGAATTATCGATTGTCACGTTTGGAAAAATAACGTGACCTTTTAATCTTTTATAGGTTGTGATGTCTGAAAACATAAACATTATCAACTCCTGGTAATTCCAATGATGGAACAATAGCTGCTGTTGTTCTCCCTATGGTGGAAGGTAGATTGATTGATTCGATTGAATTGTAACCTATCGATGATGTGAATGATACTTTCGTAGAAGTATTTTGATAACTTGGTGTTGCTGTTTGAGAAGAACTAATCGAATCTTTTTCAGTGCTCATATCTATATGAAATATTGAAACATAAATATGTATGTGTGCGTTATAATGTCATGCGTGTATATAAATATATATATATATATATATATATATTATACTTGCCTTTTGGAGTTTAATTACCAATAAAAAACAAAATAGAATAATATATACTTGAAATATTTTTGTCTCTAGGTAATGATCTAATAATATATCTGAAAACACAGTACATAACTATAGAAACTTCAAGATTCAAAAGGAAATATAGATGACTAAAATGAAAAATAGAAATAACATGAAAAACAAAATTGATTATAGTTTAAATATCTACACAGTATAGTATAAGGTTATCATTCTAAACAATATTCTACGTTTATGAAAAGTACAAGTACACATGTTTTAGAATTGGTCATCCTCTATTGTATCATTCTGGTGCGGTTGGCCATGGTAAGTCCACAATGATAAGACTATTCATTGGATTGTAATCATCTAAATAATCGATAGGATGATAGTTTTCTTCTTCTTCTTCTTCTGTAATTTCTGATGTCGTCTGTTGATGTTGCTTCTGTAGTAGTATTTCTTGTTCTTCACGATACTCATGTACTTCACGAGCCATATTTGTATTGACACGTTGAATTGAATCAGATACTGGCTGTTCAAACTAAATTTTTATAATTTTAACAAGACAATATTTGATTCAATTCGTTTTCGTTCCTACCTTATCAGCCGCTACAGTACAACGTGGAATTCTCACATAACATTTCATACAATCGACTAAATTGACTCTCAAATCTTTTATTCCAAATTTTTGACGTAAATAACTCTCATTATAGTCGGTATTTAGCGATGCGGAAGCAATTGAATTTGTGGAACGTACAGATGACTATTACAGATAGGAAAAAAAGAAATGCAGTACTTTTAAGATATTTATATTGTTTACCTGAGTAAATGATTGCTGTTGTTGAACATCATTCTGACATGTTGTTAGAATTGAATTATCTAAAGAAGATTAGAAATCGATACACATTTAAATTTGATAAATAACTGTTCAATACTTTTAGAAACTACTAATTGTTGTGATTCTTGTGAGACATTAGACATCATTTTGAACGTGTGATAATTACTCTTAAAAAATAAAATATCTATAAGAAATAGAGAGAGAGAGAAAAGACTTTATTCGATTCAACTATAAACAGAAAATTCTTAGAAAATTTCTCTAATTGAAACAGTTACATATTTGTTTATTTCATACTTATTCTTTGAACAAAATTTTACAGAAAAAAAAAAAAAGAAAAAACTAGAAAAAAGTTCATTGACTGTTACTATAATTTGTATACGATTTTTTCATCTAAAAAACATTAGAAAAAGGAAATATTAGTAAGATAAGATCAGCTATTAACTTTACTTACTCATTTACGTAATAATATTGACACTAATTTAGTTACTGCCAAAACAATCATTGACCGCATATTGAATCATCTGTTGAATAATATTGCTTTTTTTAGGATTCAATATTAACGATTGATTATTGTTTATAATGTAAAGATTTCGACTCCATCTACTTTTGGTCCGACATTTATCGAGAAATTCTTGACATGCATAAACTATAGCCATTTGAAGTGACCATTGGTGACTTGAACTTTCGATGGATTGTTTTGAATATGTATCTAATCTTTTCTCAATATCACATGGAAGACAAATATGTTCATGATTCAATTTTTGATCATGCCAGTTTTCAAAAAAGTTTTTGAATGTCTATATTATTTATTTGTTTAAGTTGTTTAGATGAAAAAAGTCCACATGATATAAATTTATTTAATTCATTCTCACCATTACCCCATGAATATATACAATTGGATAGATTTAAGATTATTTTCACAAGTGATCTTATTAACCAAAATATGACTGATGTTGCTTGTGGTAAATGATGCACTTCAATTAATAGTACGATAGATTGACATTGTATGAATTCAATTTGAATTAATGCTGGTCGACGTGTATAATAATCATCTTCTGTATCAATAGTAAATCGAGTTGTTTTTCTTGATTGTTCAATTAAATTATGTAATAGAATAGACGATGTTGATTGATTAATATGATAGATATGATAATCATTTAATGGATTAAATATTGGTAATACTCTTAATGCCATATTTAATTCAAGTTTTCGAGCATTTCGGTTCATTTTGTTCTACAAAAGCACAATTATTTTTATCTACAAAATAAGCATAAATAATTTTTTTCAAAGACAAAAAAACTGTATAACAAAAAAGAAAAAAAAAGAAACGATAATAATAGAATAGTATATGATTTCAAAAGCACACAAAAAAAAATATCATGTCATAATAACAATGAATTAATATGATATCACATAGTTGAAAAACAAAAGTCATTATTGTCGACCTGCAATAGTAGATGATTTGTCTACTGCTAATAAAGTATTTAATGAATGAAAATGTTTAGTTGTTAGGATAACTTTGGAGTTTTCTTCTGATAGAATTGGATGTTTTTCAAAATAATGAATCCAAAGTTTATAAAATTCTCGATTGAATCGACATCTTGGACCAAAATCATAAATATAATTGAATTGAATTAAACGACCATCATTATTAAATTTTTCAAGTTGCTCTATAAGTTCATATCGTTGTTCAACGAATTGAAACCATTGTTGACGAAATGTATCATACCCATTTTGATTTCTTGAATATCGCACAGTTTCAGCATGAAAATAATTGAAAAAATGTTTGACATGAGTTTCAACAAATAATAATGAATAACCATTAATAAGATAAGTTAATTCAAGAGCAATTCTTTCATGTTGAAACTCATCAATTGATATACAATAACATACAGCACGAATTAAAGCTGTTCGTAACCAATCACTATGAGCTGATTTTGAATGTCCCATGACATATGGTAATGTATAACGTGGCATATTCGAATCATAATGTAGTCGAGTATATAATTGACCTTGTCGATTTTGAATATAAGCATTAAAACATTCTACATTTGTACCAATAACTTTTTGAAAACGTACATTCTGATGTTGTTCTCGAATGTTTTCTAGAAATGTTTCAAGTTCGAGAGCACTTGATTTATTCCAGGTGAAAAATATTTGATCTTTATATCTATAAAATATTCAATTTGAACAAAAAAAAAAACAACTTTATTATTCGAAACAAACAAAATATGTTAAAAGAAGAAACTACCTTCCAAAAAATTCTATGTTTCGATCAATTTGCTTCAATATTTTCTTTTGCCATACAAATAAATAAATATTTGATAATGTTTCTGTTAATGCCATTGTATTTGGACTACCTTTTGTACATTTATAGATATGATCTTTGTAATAAAAAATATTATTATAAAGAAATACATATAAAAGATTTCGAATTGTTTGAATTGTTAATGATTCAAGTTTGTTCGTTAGTAAATTATTTTGTAAAAAATAACCAATAACATCAATCATATTTTTATGTTCATCTAATGTATAAAAATTAGTTATTTTAATTGTACAAAAGAGTGTTGTTGGACGAAGACGATGTTCTGTATTAACATAATGATTTAATTTTCGAATAAAATCAATTTCATCAACAAATGTTGTTGAATGTAAAATTTTATCAGTAAATGGTTGTAATAATTGATTTAAATATTTGCCAATTTTCCATGTTGCACTAAATCGTGATGTAATAATAGGTACTAAAGAAATATCATTTTCCTAAATAAGCCAACAAAAAAAGAAAAAATTAAGAACTAAAAGACATGTTTTCTTACATTGGAAATATTTGGTAAGAAATATAAATGTGGTAATTTAATTTTATTTGGATCAGCAATTAATTGTTTATATAAATCATCTTTAATAGCTTTATGTGTTTTTAATTTTTCTAATAAAGAATTCATTGAGTCAATCATTTCTTTTATTGATAGATCTAATGTTTTTTCATTTGTTTCATCGGTGATATTAATTAAAACTTCATAATCTTCCGATCTTGTTAAATATCGATCAGCTTTTTTTTCGAAATCGGCAATGTTACCTACATAGAATGTATTCATATTATTAGCAGTTCGTCGTAGAATAAGATTATTTTTCTTTAAAGTAGATTGAATTGATTGAATTAAATTCTTTTCATACAAAGCACGTTGATAAAGATTCGATGGTATTGGCTTGGAAAAAAGATTTTTAAATTCTTGGTAAGTTTTATCATGAATTTCCATTTGTAAAGGTAAATTAATATTATATTTTTCAAAAAGATTCATTAATTGATGTTTTAATGGTGCAAGTTGTTTCTTGACAATGTCATCCATAGATTCATTTGAAAATAAGATATACATTAAACATGGTGGTACATAACTTGGTCCACGACTTAATAATTGTAATTGTTTATCCAAGAATTGATGGGTTGTATCAATAAAAATTGAAAATGAAGTTCCAATCATTTTCATTGTTTGTCCAATTTCATTCATATTTATACAATTTAATTTATCATAAGAATTTCGAAGAAAATAATCAATTCTATAATTATAAACATCTCTCCAATGATTAGTAGTATTATTGAAACGTTGTTCAAGTAAATTAATTAATGTTGTAGTCATTCCTTGATCTTTAACAAGATTACGATGATTTTGCCACATTTTAGATAATTCATAATTGAAGAGATTTTGAAATCGATAATAAGTCTGTTCAGCTTCTAATATATGTCTAGCTAATAAATCAAATTTCTTACATCGAATTTGTTTTTCATATTGATTCAATAATTGTTGTTGTTGTTGTTGCACGTTGCCCTTGTTATTTGTAGTATCATTTTGAGTTGGTATTGATATTTGAATAGAATCGAATGATATAGATGATTTATTAAAGATGACAGCTTGTTTCAATTCGAGTAATGCTCGTTTTGATTTTTCTAAATCTCGTCTCATATTAACAAGACGTTTAGCAACTTCCATCTATATGACAATAATAAAAAATTTTAACCAAAAACAATATGAAATTTTCAAAGACTTTTCAGACAAAAAAAATATTCTTTTCTTACTTGATATTGATTTGGTTGTTCGTGTAAATATTTTCGTTCAAGTATTTCTGTTTGATAATTATACATAACGATTGCTTTTTCCAATTGATGTTCCATTTCAAGTGGTTTAATTCCTTGTTCTTGTACATAGATTTCCAGAGCTTCATCCATATCGTATGTAAATTCAAGTAAAGAATTCTTCTTTTGAATTAATTCACTTTGAGCAAGATCAATTTCTAAATTTGTTTCTTCTAAACGTTCACGAAGTAGATCTTCACAAGCAGCTTGTTGATCATCTTGATTTGTTTCGGTGGTCGTCTTTGATTTAACTTTTTTGTCTGTTAACATAAGTGATTGAACTTGTATTGGGCAAACTCGTCGATCAACTTCTATTAAATCATTGTTAGGTTCCATTAACGTACCTGTTACTGATTGTAAATAGACAGTTGTAATCTCTCTTTTTAAACGAAAAGTAGCAACTTGATGTATTAATAAAGCCAACTTTTGTATATCATTCATACTAATAGATTGAATATTTTTTATTATGTTTTTTATTATACAAAGAAATGTTTTATTATCCATCGATAAATAATTTGGTATTTGATTTTGTATCGTATGATTATCATTAAAATCATTATCTTCATCATTGTCATTATCAGACAATTTCATTTTCTTTGAATTTAAATTTGGACTAGTTACAATATTTAAACGTCGTTTTTTATCACTAGTATCGGATGAATTAATTTCATGTTGATCTTTTGTTGATAATTGACTTAATTTTTGTGATAAAATAGTTTCATTATCTTGTTGTTCTTCTTCTTCTTCTTCTTCTTGGATCAACTAAATAATGGAACGAAAGAAAAAATAGCAATAGCTTTTAATACAAATGTAAAAATAGTATTACTTCAACACAATCCGAATCATTCAAAATATCATATTGAATAATTTCCTCTTCATATATCATTGATTTTAATTGACCAGTTAGAAAATATTGATTTAATACGTCTGTTGAAAATTGAAGTCCATCATTTGTTTCATCAATAGTATCAAACATATCATCGAATGGTTTACTATTATTCGATAAATTATTGACTGTTGACTTTGATTCTTGGTTTGTATTAGCCATGGAAAGATCAAAAACAAAAAAAAGGAAATAAATTTCTTATATCTGAAATAAATGAGAAAAAGTTAGAAACAAAAAATTTTATATGTATAAATCAAGTGTAATACGAGATACAACAGTGTCTATAGGCTTCTATTTATATACTTTCAAAGAATAAATAAAGAAACAAGCTATACTGAATAATTCTTCGTTTTTTTTTTTTCTCACAATATCCTACAAAGAAAATCAATAGAAACGTTCTAGTCTATTACTATACAAAAAACACTAATGAAATGTTTATTATTCAGTTAGATCAAGAAAATATTTGAGTGGCAATGGTCGTGTTGTACGTTTTATGTATTCTTTAATGAGTTGTCGTAATTAAGTAATAAATTGATCATCCAAAGATCTATCTTGTTTTTCATTTTTTACTAATGATTGTACCGACTGGTCGATTTTTGGCTGTAATGTTTGTTGCTGTACTTATTGTTGGTCCATCTAGAATAGATAATAACACCAAATATGTTTATAGAAACTTGAATAGAATAATTACTTGTGTCGGAATATTTGCTGATTTTCTGTGTAAAATTTCAGACCATCTGGGATTATTGGCTATAACAAGACAATATTGTTGACATTTAAAATCAGCTATATATGTCGTTGGTGTTGTCTTTGCCGTCGATGATTTTTCTTGTTGAGTAAAACCAGATGTTGTCATAGGTTCAGTTTTACATACATTATTATCACTACTCTTATCAGCTTGTATTGAATTTTCATCAAATAAATCCATAAGAATTGTATGCAAATCTTTCATATCGAATTCCATAATTGAATTTTTATCGTCGAACGATGAGTATAATCTACAAAAAAAAAAAAATTTTTTTAGTACAAAAATGATATAAAGAATCTATTACCAACATATATAATGAAGTCTCATGAAATTTCATATTTTACTTTGAATGCCTAATATCAGTTTACACATGATTGTATACTGGAAAAGTAATAAACACACAACGAGAAGAACAATAGACAAAAAAAAAAAAAGAAGAAGCATGTAGAACATAAGTATTGGTGGAATGACTATCGCTGTTGATCCATGTTTGAAAAATCAAAAACCAAACTAATTGGATATGATCTTCGAGTTCGTTGAAGATAAGCTCGAATAGATTCTTCTAATTCGAATCGTAATGTGTTATATAGTATGGTTTCATGTTCTGTAGTATGAGCCATTCCAAAATGAACTGCTTGATTCGGTATCAATATACCACCTCGCAAGCGTTGTTGCCATTCCTAGAATATGACAGTAGAAATGTTGATAAAGATTATTGCTCATTACCTGATTTGGTGACTGTTGAAAATCTTGTGTACGTTGTAGTAAGTTTGGATAATTTGTTATTGCAATAACGAAATGTTGATTTCGTCTTGTTATTGTTGATTGAATATTAAATTCTGATGCATTTGAAGTAGAACCCATTATAAATCAGTGATAATCTACAAGAAATAAATTCAAATAGATATAATTCTAGGAGAAAGTTTTTGATTTGTTGTCTATTTCTTTTGAATTAGACAACATCTCATAAATTATATCACAATGCATGTCAATGTATTCTAATAATGCATACAAAAAACATAGAAAAATGAAAAAGAAAATACAAAATATAAAAACGATTGTTTTTAGATCGAACAATGCTGAACACAATTGCATTTCATAGATCATCATAGTCATGTATACATATATTTACAGAAATATATATATACAAGAAAACAGTAACATAGACTATTAATAAATGAAAAGAAAAACAATACCAATGAAGTTACAGGGGTTATTCAGATTATTACTGTTCTGTATTAATATCAGACATATCAAAGACATAATGAATAGGATATGATCGACGCGTTCTTGTAAGATAATGATTTGCTACTTCTCTTAATTCGACTCGTAAGAGATTATTGAGTATTTGTTCACGATTATTGCTATTTACTGCTGCATTATTTGTAGTACTATTTTGTGCTGAAACTGTCGTTATTTGTACATTTTGCTGTAACTAGAAACAATCAAAGTAAAATATCTTTATCATTATTTTTTTTTCTTTTTTGATATAATATAATATATCCATATATGAAATGTATTTTTTCAAAATTTAAATTAATATCTTTACTATACCTGTGGTTGAAATGTTCGAGTTTGTCGTAATAATTCAGGATTATTTGTAAGAATAATAATAAATTATCGAGGTGGAGCACTTGTTGATCGATGTGCATGTAATGGTGCAACTATTAGTATACGTCTTGTTGGACGTGTACTCGATGCTCGATGATGATGATGATGTTGATGTGAGGAAGACATCTATAAATTGATAGAATTATCTAAAATATAAATAAGTCAAAGTTTGGAGAATAACAAATACTCATTATAACATGAAACAAAGATTTACAGATATGATTCGTTTCATAGAAAAAAAAACAAAACAAAAATGTTTTTAATAATTCATTCAAACAATATTCATAGAAGTAAAGTAAAAAACAAAATAAACAATATAAATACTTTAATATTCTTGGTTTCTATTTGTTTTATTTTGAGTTGCAATTTGCAATTCATTTACTACTACGATGACTTCTATATTGACCTATATATATAGGATTCAAATAGACGAAAATTGGATCTTTAATCGGTCGTCGTTCTTGTACTTTATCAAGTCGTTTTGAAGACCATACTGGTTTTGGTGGATGTAACGGTGTTGACAATGAATAATCAAATAATACTCGATGTTTCTTAAAATATAAAGAAAATTTATATATATATATATTCATTTTGAATGTGACAATGCTTTTTTACCGATTGTTGTTCCATTTTAGGATCGTTTTGATTGATCATATTGCGTAACAGTGAATTACCTGCCATAAAAGAAAACTAAATCTAAAATATGAACAAAAATAGTGATGCAAAGTAAGCTATTATGTTTCCTGCGTTTTTTTTGACAATATACAAAAAAAAAACGAAAACAAAAGAAAAATTTATACACATGTCTTTGAAACCGATCATTTCAAGTCTATTCCGATAGTTTTTTTTTTTTGACTTCAATAAGCCTGAATTTATTGTTAATCATTCCGTTGCAACAATATTTTTCGGTATTGTATTTTTTGGTTCAGGTCGACGTAATAATTCTTGACACCATTCACTACCACGAACCAACCAAGAATTCTTCATAGAATAATAATCATTATTTTGATTCTCATTCAAAACGTTACCAATCGAATTAAGATTTGTTTCGGCATAAGTTATGAATAAAGATTCAATAGTAAAACGAAACATATCCGTACAAGTTTCTGGTACTGTAAAAAAAAACAAAAAACGAAATATGTTTCTATCGGAAGTATACATATGTTTAAAAAATAATAATCTACTTACACACAGCTATAATAGTAGCATTGTATAAATCAATATCTTGATTTGGTAAAGTTTGATCTCGTGTCTTATGAAAATATTGTGTTTGAAACATGATTTGTCGATTGGAAAAAGTGAATCCATTCGTTGGTTTTGGAACAGCTTCAACATACATTTTAGTATCTTCTTTAGATCGTATAGTCCAACTAAGTTCTTCAGTAGAAGTATATGGCGCAACCAATTTTTGTTCTGGTTTGTCTGATTCTTTTAATGTCATTGGTACAAATCGCCAATATTGTGGATTAGCATCTAAAAATATTTGCATCGCCACTGAACAATGTGTCGAATGCTGATAAAGTTTCATACGATCTTTTACTATAATTCTAAAATTAATAAAATATTGACAACACTAAATCAAATCTTAACACTTGAATTTTTTTCTTCTACATACTCCTTTGGTTTTCCTCGTGGAAAATCACGTAGAATATTTTCTTGTCCTATTAAAAATTCATGTATTATTCGATTACCATGTTCACGATGTTCTATATAAAGTAGATTGTATATTAAAAAGAAAAACAAAAAAAAACAACTAATGTGTACTTATTAAACGATCATGTAAACTATTTATTGTTGCACCTATATATTCAAATTTACCACATGGACATGTCAATGCATAAATAATATTTCGTGTATGACATGACTACAAAAACAAAAAAAAATTCAAAAGAATCTTTATATTAAATTTATCGATATCATTTTCGTGAAAGATACCGCTGAACAATTTAAAATGGCTTGATATCCATTAAGAAATGTATGTTTATGAGCTTGATTAAATTCAACAATTGATTTCTTCGATCGATATGTCATATTATATTGAGGATAACATAATCCACAATTACAACATGCAGCTAATTCATAACGAGCTTCCGGTTCTTGTAAACAAAAAAGACCTTCATTTAATGTACGTGGTCGAGCATAACGAAATGAACATGTTTTCATATAGAACATGTTGACTAAAAAAAAATCAATAAATAAATGCATCAACAAAAAAAAAAGAAGGTAAGATACTATGAAGAGAAACATACCATCAAATTGTAAAAAAAATTCTAATGCAATAGGATATTCTCTTTCATCGATTCGTTGAATTTCATGTGCTCGTAGTTTAAATACACGCATTTGTTCACAAGCTAACATTTTCATATATTTATTTAAACGTGTATAATTATAATCCAAAATAGATAGATCCACTTTTAACCGTTCAAGTAAATCACCAAAATACATATGGAACTTTTCACATATAAATGATCGTATATTTGAATCATTTTTTACAATATTGAATGCGGGCTTGAAAATCCCACTACGTCGTCGAATCAATTCTTGTTGATTTAGTTTATGAGCTGAAAAAATTTTTTCGAATAATAAAAAAAAAGATTTTGTATCATTTTCTTATCTGCAGTCTCTTTGTACGTACGTGGTATATTCGACATTAATGGATAGCCGTTTTGTTGTTTGTTATTTGTTGGAAACCATGGTAATACTGGTAATCGACGTTGAATATTTGGAAATCGTTCATTTATTTTACTTAAATCTATGGTTTCATGAACGACTATTGGAGAGAGTATTATCTCATCTGTATTAAAATTTGGTGTACATAAATCAATTATCTCTACAGTTTCGATAGTATCCATATCCATTTTTTTTGGTGCCTATATGACGAGAAAACAAAAAAAAAAACAAATTTGAATAAAAGGTTCGATTAATATTTCTGTTGCAAAAGCCTTAACTACCAGACTGAGTGACGTTGGACGAATTAAATGTCCTGGTTTTTTGTCATTATTAGTAGATTCGATTTTTTCCATTGACAAAGAAAGACCCAAACTAAAAAACCTATCAATATAGAAGATTTAAAATGATTTAAACTAGAAAAAGAAAAACAAAAAAAAAACATCTATTCAATATAACTTATGGAAGTGAAAAATCGCAAAACCAGGATAATCTTTTCAAACACTTCGTCATGTCTTCACTGTATGAAAAAGCAAACATCGCGAAAATGTTTGAAACTGATTGAATAGAAATGTAATTTTGTAAATTTTAAAGAAATCATCAAAAAACAAAAAACAGTTGAACGTAAGTAAGAACAGACCTGATAACGATCGATTAATATTGATGCAGTTGTGTTTGCCAGTAGAGATCACAGTAAAAGTTTCGATGTAGCTGCTATTAAATCAAACCACTAAATGAATTCATCACAAGCAGAACAGGCCTATTTATAGTTAGGAAGCGAGCATAGACGACAACAAACTTCGACACTGAATCATAAACAAACGTCACTATTCTATTTCAGACTACAATTAACTACCACACTTGACAACAAATGATGACAAAATTAAATTATTATTAAGAAGTTTTAGATTGAAAGCATCGACACGACGCGTTTCGACCTTGCTTAAGGGTCATCGTCAGGTATCTTTACAATCTATAGTACATATATCTAGAACCCTCCAAATACTGAAGAAGTAATAGATAATACCGTACTACAAAAGTTCCGAATAACAAAATTAAATTATTATTAAGAAG